CACTGCAGAGTGGTGGGGGGCGGCCCGAGGGGCTGGGAGAGGGTCCGGCCCACGCTGCGCCTGGGCTGGGACTGGTCCCGCCAGCGCAGGGTAGCCGGAAGCTCTCCACACACTCACCCGACCTGGGCTAGGACTCTGTCTAGCAATATATTAATCTGTTTCACTGCATTAATCAGTGCTAAGTTGAAAGATAAAATGGGCATCTCATCTTAATTTACATTTCTTTAGCAGCCATGGGGGATGTATATAAGTTGAGATCTTTAGAATAAGGAGTAATAAACATAGAGCTGGTGGTTTCTATTTCTATTTATTTAATTATTATTACTACATGTTTACAATTCATAATGTATACATTCACCATGGACAATTGGTACATATGAATATCACATCATGATCATTTTTACTTCCCCTTCTGCTACTCTCCCTTCCATCTCCCAAATGAACTTGGAACACTCTAATGTCTATCTTGACAGTGATATAACTCTGTGTGTGTGTGTATGTGTGTGTTGATATTTATTCTGTGCTCTGTACTACACTCCTTTTCTGACTTATTGATGCAATTCATCACATTTGGTATACCATTTCCTACAATAGATGCCAATTGTACCTTTTCTCTAATAGGCTATGTTCTCTATTTCTACTCTGAAATTCTACTTCATTACCAACAATATTCACTAGGAATAAAACAAGAAATTTGCTAACATGTCTGAACCCCTACTCTATGCCAGGCACTGTGTTAAAAGTGTGATACCACCTAATATAATATAGTTCAGAGAAGTGAAGTAAATTATTTGTCCAAGTCCATCTAACTATTAAGGAGATCTTGACTTTCAGTACAGCAGTGTCTGATTTAAATAGTCATCATCTACCACTACATTACACTGCCACTACTAAACTGACAGTACTCAATTCTTCACATTTCTGATCCAATCTACACAAATGTTAAGCCAGAATGAAGAAGGTTACAGAGAAAATGATGCAATTAATACCTGTGCTTCCTTGTCTTTGGTGGATTAAACTTTCTGGTGTAAAAATTTTACCTTTGTTTCTTCCATTTGGTCTATGGACCTTACCCCTAATACTTTTACATATAGTGTATTTTATTACTTATGGTACTGGCCTGGTTACGGATGAAGTTTCAAAATTCTCTTGAGATGTCTTTTCCTTCCAATAAGCATTGAGCTTCTGAGCAAGGGTATTTATTGTCAATCTAAAAGAAAATGTTAAGACAAATGTCAAGGTTCAGTACTATCAAATAAGTTTTCCATTTTTGAGATGCTCCCATTTAATAGAAAGCGAGCCCGGGGAAATGGCTCAGTAGAATAAGTGCTTCTCTGGCCAGCACAGGGCCTGAGTTCAATCCCCGGTTCTTCAAAAAAAAAAAAAAGTTGCTCCATTTAATTGAAAGCAACAGCTTAGAATATTCAGCATAGTTTGGAATATACACACATTAAAAAGCTAGGATAGGAGCTCAATGACTTTGAAAACTGTGTATCTTAACAAAAATCAGACTGTTGAATAATTACTTCAGTTCAGAAGATAAAACAGACACAAGACCTAAAAAGTAAAGTTCTAACAATCTTGAGGGTTACAGAACTATGGAAAGGGTAAGTTGACCTTAGAAACTATAACAGAAGACTACATTGTAGAGATAGTGCAGCCAAATTCTGATAAATTGATAGTAAGTTATTTTTCAGATGACAGATAAGTAATTCAAAATCAAGTCAAAACTCAGGATGATTAAATATGGTACTCTACTATATACCAGTGAGATATTAACTTTAATGTATCTAGATGTCCTCCAAGAGCCTCATGCACTCATAGGTGGTGTTTTTCAAAAGGTTGCTGGATCTTGGATGTGAGAATATGGATTGGATTAGCATAGTTCTGAGTGCGACTACATGGATTTACTGAAGAGGCAAGCCCCATTCTGAGTGTGGTGGAACCAGTCAATAGGTTTATTTTTTTTTAAAAAACTTTATTTATTAAGTGTGTGTGTGTGTGTGTGTGTGTGTGTGTGGCCAGCTCAGTCCACCAGGGGGCGGGGCTGGCTGGCATGTGGTGCTGGGGGATCGAACCGTGGTCCCTGTGCTTTGCCAAGCTTGTTCCAAGTAGGTGCTTTAGACCACTGAGCCATCTCGCCAGCCCAATCAATAGGTTCATAGCCTGGATGGAATATAAAGGACAGAAAGAAGGCCGGCTATCTGACTTCCTGTCTGCCATGTTATGGACTATTTGTTCTCTGCCATAGCCCTCTGCCATGCTACCCTACCTTGGGACCAACTGACTATGCAGTGAAACCTCTACAAATGTGAACTAAAATAAACCTTTGCTACAACTAATGAGTGTTGGGTATTTTCTCCCAGCAATGACAAAGTAACTAAGACAGATTTTGGTGTAGAGAGCCCTTCCCAGTACTTGTTGTAGCCCAGGAGATTTATATTTTTAATCCCATGAAAAGTTACTGGAATTCTAGTGAGTTAATTCCAACTACCACTTCCAAGTGCAACCCACCTTGAGAATAAAGACACTAAGGCATACCTGTAATTATGGGGAGCGAAGGGGTCCTAAGTCCAGCTATGATGATGACTATCCAGAACAAAGGCCTCAATCCAAGTTTCATTCATTCATAAAGAAAGGAGTGGTTTAAGGATCAGTGACAGAATGGCAGGAAATAGGTGAGTACTGTGAGCTGGGTTAGGTGAGAGGCCCATATTTACTTCTGCAATATGCAGAGAGAGGGCCAGTCAGAAAGCTCAATGGACCAAAGAGCCTGCTTAGACAGAGTGCAGGGACTGGGGTTCAATTCCCAGCACCACAAGCCGTGCTGGCCCCACTCCCAGGGTGCACTGAGATGGCAACTGAGACTGGGCATGGTGGCGCACACCTGTAATCCCAGTGCTTGGGAGGCTGAAAACAGGAAGATCACTATGAGTTTGATCTATGTAGTGAGACCCTGTAGACCTTTTACTAAATAAATTTTTTAAAAAATCAGAGAGAAAGATATGAAGAGAGTAATGTGCATTACACAATTGAGATAGTATCTAATGTTTTGGGGTCCAATGCTTCAACTCTGATGTGTAATCTTTCAAGCCCCAGGAAGTCATAGCCTCCATCTCGAGGCTCCATCCCTGCTGACAGCATGGAACATTGCTTCTTCTTCCTATCTTGACCCAGTTCATAGTAAAGAGCAGCAGGTGGGGGTGACCAGGGAAACATGTGTGCCAACTTCAAATACTATCACCAGCACCTTGGCTGGACCCATCTACATTGCTTAAAGCAAACTGAACGAGTAAGAAAAATTCCTAGCCAGCTCTGCACATATGCATACATGGAAATTGTGTCAGGCTTGGTCAAAATGGAGACAACTGCTCACATAAATTTAAGATTTTACATTTTCTGAGCTTGCATCTTTCCCTATGTATAGGCAGTGACTTTCTACTTGTGTGGTAGCAGAGCTGTTAAAGGAATAGAATTTTTGCATTGAACTGCAGCTGGCAAAAATCAAATTGGAGTGTTATAATTTAAGATTGCTAAATATAATCCTCATGCTTACCACAAAGAATATAGGTAAAGAATATACAGATAACGGAGCTTATCAGCCATTTCCGTGTCTCACCAGCATCCCCCTGGCTATGAGGATGGCGGAGTAGGAACTGGGATGTGCAAAAGGAGCAGACACTATCTAAGTGTCAGGCACTGAAGCTGCAGCAGTGTTTGGGGATTTGGCACCACAGATGAATAATGAAGGAGGCTTTGGAAATGTGAAAGGGGATAGAGGCACATGCCTGTAATGCCAGCACTTGCAAGGCTGTGGTGGGAGGACTGCTGTGAGTGTGAGGACAGCCGAGGCTACAAAGTGAGTTTCAGGTGAGCCTGAACTACATAGTGAAACCCTGTCTTAAAAAGACAAACAAACCCTGAAAATGTAGAACTGAGAGCCCCTGGAAAAAGAGAAGAAAGTCCCAAAGAGAGTCATCCACTTTGTTAGTGGTGAGACAATGGACAGATACAGACCTAGAAAAGAAAGATTTTTTTTGCCTGCTATTGATCTGAAAGAAGAAAACAAGACTTGAAGAAGCAGAAAGACAATTCCAGCAGGGTACGCTGTAAGCTAATTCATCATTCAGATGGATCAACCAGAAAAAGTGGTATCCAGTTCATTTGTGAATCTTAATTTTGAAATAGAGTAAGACTGAAGTGATCAGAGAAGGCAAACAAAATCTATGCTTTGCCCTACCACAAAATGAAATGACTATCAATCTTTGAATGTTGTTTTATTTTTTTTTTTTTTTAGGACAGGGTCTACAGAATCTCACTACACAGATCAATTGCTGTCTCAGTACACCCTGAGGGTGGGGCCAGCATGGCAGGCTGGGGGGTTCAAACCTTTGGCTCCTGCATATGCCTGATCAGGCACTTTAATCCGATGGGCTATCTGGCTGGCCCTAAAATATTTCTTCACTCTTTTTTTTAAATTTTATTTATTTATGAGCATGTGTGTGTGTGTGTGTGTGTGTGTGTGTGTGTGGCCAGCTCAGCCCACCAGGGGGCGGGGCTGGCTGGCATGTGGTGCTGGGGGATTGAATTGCAGTCCCTGTGATTTGCTAAGCTTGTTCTAAGTAGGTGCTTTAGACCACTGAGCCATCTCGCCAGCCCCTGTTTCTTCATTCTTGAGCTATATTTAGTAAGCCAGATCTGAAGTTTGGATATTTTGATTAAACTTTCACTGCATGTCAAAATTGCTAGGCTTTAGATTTTTATTTCCTTTTTTTTTTTTTTTTTTTTTGGGATCGCTGGGGACCAAACCCAGGTTATGCTAGCAAGTG